CAGAGAGGCGTGTAAGACTGTGACCCTGCATCCTGGACTCAACTCTGGGTTGTCATAATTTAGGTTGTAAAACAAACTCGTCCAGATTTCTAGATAAGAGAGCCGCACCACCCAAAGTGGGATGGATGCCATCTCTACTAATCAGACCTGGTTTTCCCCAAAATGTTTTCCAGTTGTCTATGAAGCCCACGTTATTTTCTGGGCACCACCTAGACAGCCAGCGGTTGAATGACGACATGCGGCTAAACATGTCATCACTGGTCACATTGGGTAGGGGTCCAGAGAAAACTACGGAGTCCGACATTGTTTTAGCGAAGTTACACACCGACTCAACATTAATTTTAGTGACCTCCGACTGGCGAAGTCGGGAGTCATTAGCGCCTACGTGAATAACAACCTTACTGTATTTACGCTTATCCTTAGTCAGCAGCTTCAAATAGGATTCAATGTCGCCCGCTCTGGCCCCAGGAAAACATTTGACTATGGCCGCCGGTGTCTCTAGCTTCACGTTTCTGACTATGGAGTCTCCAATTACCAGAGCTGTTTTCTCAGCGGGTGTGTCGCTGAGTGGGGAAAATCGATTTGAAACGTGAACAGGCAGGTGATGCTTCGTTTGGAGCTACGGCTCTTGCGAACTGTCACCCAGCCACCTGTCTGGGATCCCGGCTGCTCGAGAAGCTGTGGTGGGCGGCTAGCTTGGGCTAAACTACGTCATAGCTAGCTGGCCTGTTCTCCATGGTGTGGAGCCGCGCTTCTAAGTCTGTGAGCCTCGTCTCCAATACTGCTAGCATCTGACATTTATTACTAGTACCATTATCGCTAAAGGAGGCAGAGGAATAACTGAACATGCGACACTCCGAGCAAGAGAAAGGAGGAGAGGAAGAGGGGGAAGCCATTGCTCTCAATTAAGCTACTAGCTTAGCTAGCTTCTAAACTAGCCGACCTAAAGTAGCAAGTTAAATTTGGTAGTTAGCAACAACTTCTGCAAAACAAGTGCTTTAAGTGGTGCAAGCGTATGTTGTCACTCAAATTCAGATGAACCTAGAAAATAGTGAGTTTAATTCCTAAACAATCTGGAAGCAAACACAACGCAGTGCAGGTAGAGAAAACAGGAAATGAGTACGGTTTACCGCAGAGGCAGGAAACAGCAGTCCGTCAAAGGTTCCGCCCTTGAAGAGGAGTCATCACATGACTTTGAAGCACACTAAATTGAAATAATAGTCAGAGAAGAAAAAAAAATACTGTTGTTGTTCACATCGCAACAGTTAATTACAGAAAATTACAATCTCTATCTTAATAAAAACACAATACCTCACTGTCCAGTTCCATTTTAGAAGCAATCCTCTCAATGTCCCAGTAATACAGTTTATAAGGTCCAACTTTATTAAGAATAACATGAACATCCTTTCCCGCCCAAGCATCCTGTAGATCTGTGGATAGTATTAGATAACGCAGATTTTAGAATAAATTCATTTTGTAATATTTTTACATTTAAAATAAAGCAGTATTTACAATTTTTAAATCCTATGACAATCCTGTTCCATATTTATTAATGACAGATGTTGTTTAATACATTCAGTTTAACAACTGACACAAAAATTTGTTTTAAGGATAAGACCGAGATTCTCAGTCATCCAGGCCATAATAAGCTGAAAAAACTTAGAAAAAATCAACTGGACTAGATTTCTAGATCGAAGATGTTTCACCTCTCATCCAAGAGGCTTCATCAGTTCTGACTGGTGTTGAGCCAGAGATATTTATCCCCCTCGGTGGCGTTTCAGTCCTTTCAGGGCTAACAATGTCCCTTCGACCTAGAAATCTAGTCCAGTTGATTTTATCTAAGTTTTTTTCAGCATAAAAACTAAATAAATACACAATATGTGCAGTGCATTACAGTGTCTAACCTTCGTCAAATATACTGTCTTAATACATAATGAAAACACAAAATAAAAGAACAGTGTAGCCTACCTTAAAGACCCAGTTCGATGCTCACTTGTCACCAAAGCTAAGTAAAGGAACAGGTCTGTAATTTGTACATACCACAATGCACAAACCAACATTCAAAATTTAGCGTCCTCTCACAGCGACCAATAGCTATGGCTGCATTCGGAGCTCGGCCCTGCTCGGCCCTATTCGGTCCTGCTCGGCCCTGCTCGGTCCTACTCGGTCCTGCTGAGGAGGAGTTTTAAAAAAAATGGGACGCGGAGCCTCTGGTGCCTGATACAGGTGAGTAGCTGCAGGTGTGTGCCCGCGTGCACATAGGCACAGGTTCAGTGGAAGGAGGCGTGGCCTGTAAACTACGTGCATCAGGTGGTTTCAGTTACTGCTTCTGTTTGGTCGCAGTTTTTTCTGTTGCAGACAGCAGAGTGTTCACCTGCACATCACTGTGGTCACTCAGCTGTTAACACCTGACCACAAGTCAAAACTTTACCTGGAAAACCGGAAGTGTTTATGAGTGTTTGAAGTGTTTTCCCCTCCAATTCGGTTGCGTTTTACATTTGCACGTTTCCTGAGATGAACTCCACCAGCGGGTAAGTCAGAGTCGTCGTGGACACTTAAATCACATCCACAGTCTTTTTACCTGCTTCAACACAGTTTAGGTTTTTCCCGTTTGTTTTCTGGCGTCTGCAGCTTTGTTTGTTGTTTGTACCTGAGTGTTTTGACACGTTTCAAATGTCGCTTGAACCAAAACTTTGACGCAGTTTTTGTCATGTTTGACGCTTGTTGTGTTCAAGAAACGTGACACTGTGGGGGCGGTTTTTTAGACAGTTCAAGAACCGGTTTTGTGTGCGTGAGAGAAAGACAGTCATTCATTGACGCCGTGGATCGAGTGTCATCTGTGGCCAGGGGATATAAATTTAGACAGGTGTGTTTGTGTGCATCTGTGCACGTGTCTCTGTGCTCCCATGGTTACAGTGCCAGGTACCTGGAGCAAATAATGGAGGAGTCACTTCAAAATATTGATCTTTGTTAATATTTAATTTCTGCAGTGATGTTCTGGCCTTTCTCCTCTGAGAGCTCTGAGTAGCAAAGTGTTTGTTGTACATGTGAAGGAAACGTGTCCAAACTGTGCTCATTTCACACTTGTGACTTTTTTTTCCAGACCAACAAGACTGAAAACATTTCACAAGTGGTAGGAGAACATTTTTAGCACATGGGAATACATTTAGTCAACTGAAGTAAATGAGTGTTGAGATGCTGGTTTTTCACTGGACACCAGTAACTGGTTGATCTGAGGAAGTAGGTACTGACACCTCAATGACCCACTGGATGTGGGGAGGTCAGCTGATACAGATTTGTGAATGAATGATGTTGTTCGCTGTGTTCTCCAGGTGGCTTTTCTTTCTTAATGGCTCCACTTGTATTTTGAGGACAGTGTTGCTTCTCAAAGAGCAGTGCTGCTTTATTGTAACACTACCAGGGATCAGGGGATGAGCCGCTCTCTGATTTGCTGGGCCAACTGCTGCTGACTTGTACCTTAGTGCTCATCTGCGTCCTTGTAGGGGCAAGCTGTTACTGCAGGACAGTGTTGACAGCAAAGAGAAAACATACATGCATTATGAATAAATTAAGGGCAGTTTGGAGAGTGTTCACAGCACTGTAAGCCGACCATCTTGTTCTTTCCTTCTCTGCAGCACGGAGGTATTTGTGGCTCATTCCCCTGCTGTAGGGTGAAACCCTGAGAAGCTCAGACTCCCTGTGTTCATGGCCTTTTCCCACATGATGCTTCAGACAGTGCAGTAACACAGTTTGTTCCAACTCTGCCTTTGCACAGACAGGATCTGTTGCTCAGCCAACAGTAGCTTGGACCTGGTGGAACCATTTGCATCAGTTTTCAAAGCTTCATTTACTTCCACTGCTGCAGAGAAGATGGAAGTTTATTCAGAACCTTCAAATTGTATGCAAGTGATTTGCTCAAATTCTTCAAAGTGAGGAAAAATATATTTAGGAAGAAAGAAATTCAATCAAGCTTTATTTATATGGCACCTTTCATACAGGTACATGCAATGTAAAGCATTTTATAGATTGACAATAAGGCATGAAAACTAGAAGCCACCTCACCACACGGTTTTGTCCTGCACTTTGGAACATGCAAAGGACTCCATGTCTAACACTGAGTACGCACCACGACATTGTTTTCATCAGTTAATAAAGCTGCACATCCACCTGGTTCCGCTTTATAGATCTCAATGGTCATGGAATTTGGCACCCAAGCCTTTTTCCACTCACTTTTAGCCATAAATAGATGTAGACGCTCCTCTAGTCAGTTATTTGCATATAGAAATAGTCTCTGGACCGTATGGTATTAGACTTGGCAATAAAAGCAACACTAAAGAAGGAGCACAGAAACTCAGGCACTTGGAGAGGTGGAGACAAGATTTGTTTAGTGATCTCAAGTCAGGAATCACAAACAGAAGAAAAGCTGCTGACTGGCAAAAATTCACTGCGGCTGTGAGTATTGTCACGTCTGAGCAGAGGGTGGCAAGGTAGAAAAAAGCAGTCGGACTAAGTCAGAGGCAGAAGGTGCATATGAGGGCAACAGGAGCAGCACCGGCACCTCCTGTATTATTAGTCACATTTGTTGTCACACAGGTTTGAGGAAATCAGAAGGATCACGACACACTTTTCTCTCCTTATAGTGCATTGTCAAGATCCTACAGGAAAGCCGAACAGGCGTCCTTATGCACAGCTACAGATATTTATAGAGCCTTGTAATTTAATCCTACACCTATAAAGGCTTCTTGTTTGGCCGGTGATGCCGCAATCACCATTAAACAAAAATTTAATGGCAGCATTATCAGCAGTTTACAGAATTACAAAGCAGAAAAGATGACAAAGAACAAAATTGATCAGGCCAACATAAATGTTATGAACTGGAACATATACTGTATAAACAGTTAAAAATAATGCAACCCATTTAACAATGCTCCAGTCATTGCAAGCTCTTGGTATCTCTGCCACCTTCTGAAAAACGGTTTCTTGGCTGCCGTCCTTCCACAAAGGTCGTTCCTGATCGAGCATCTACGGCTGTGGAAGGACCAACTTGGCATCCAGATGAAGCTGCCAGATGCAAAGTTCCGTCTGGTCTCTCAGAGAAGAAACTCTGTGAAACTTCTTGTCAGGTTCTGACAGTTTTCTTGCTCTTCCACTCCTAGTTTTGTCCTCGACCTCTCTGGGTTCTTTAGATTTCTTTAGGACTGCTTGAACCACATCCTGAGTTATCCAGTTTGCAGATTTTATGCGTAGGCATAGTTTTTGTGTGTATACATCTGAGCCCAGGTGTCAGAGGATCTAAGAGGCTCTGTTGGTTCAGACACTGGAGGCATGTCAGATCAGCAGGTCGCTGAAAGACCACAAAGTACTTTTTAAATACAGTAGTTTTAAAGCCACTACAGAAACTGACAGGGAACCAAAGTAAGAATGTTAAAACAGGCGTAGTGTGTTTTCTCCTCTGGTCCTGGGCAGCACTTGGGCAGCAGAGTTCTGAACCAACTGTAACAGATTTATAACCTCTGTGTGTCGACCAGAGTGCGGAGCGTTACAGTGGTCCAGTCTGCCGGATATAAAAGTGTCACTCAGAGGGAGCACCGATGCACTTTATAGTGTGATATAAGGTCACATTGAAGTGCCATTAGTTTGTTGGAGCAGCTTCAGAAACTTCCACACCACTTTTAGAGGCTGGGTGGATTACCAAGTGAGAAACGAAGGCAGATGCCAGACCCTCAGCCTCTGCTGCAGCCGCTTCAGGGTCATTTTGTTAAATGTTAGATGGGTTTGTAAAATTGTTTGGCAGTGAAGCTCACTTGATATTTTTGAGAAAATCAAATGTTAACCCATTCAGTGTGTCTTCTGCTCACAAGGTGCATATTCTGAAACGAACATTGTTGTTGGCCGGTTTTTTCCTGAGGATGTCATGCAGCCTGGTCCAGTCCTGGTGACTGCAGCTTCATCTAATAGCACGATGCTGTGCACATGTTGTGTCCTGTGTGGACTCTGATGGAGGGTTGCAGCATCACAGAGCTCAAGTGAATGTGGTCTGCAGCTCTTACTCTGTATCTGTGCTGCACATCCCACGTCTGCGGCTCCAGTTTCACTGCAGCCTGAAGTGTTTCACCCGACCTGTGCTGGGGTGTTTGAGTTACCCGAGTGGTGCCGTTATGTTGGGAAATCTGTGTGACCTCTTTCCCACCAAGAACTATAGAGTCGATATCATGACCAGAGCCTGTGGCACCTGCGGGTTGTATGGCAGTGCACATGGCAGGGTGGTTTCCACTATCAGTTGATTATTTTCTCTCTCTCACTCTCTCTGTTTGCTTCATAAAATGTGGGGATGGGAGGTTGGAGCCAATCCCATCTGACACTGGGCGAGATGCAGGGTACACCCTGGTCAGGTCACCAGTGTATCACAGGGCAGTTATCAAATTGGTCATGAATTACATTTCTGTCAGTCAGCTAACTAATCCATCAGTGATTCAGCTCTGGTACGAAGGCGAATCTGACTCTTCTGGATCTCTGAAAAGATTATATTTCATCTTTTCATGCAGATTGCATCAATGTTTGCTGTCTGCACTAATTAATCTCTTGACAGCTGCAGTAATAATTAGCCCTGAGCTGAATATGCCTGAGAGGTGAGAGGAGGAAGGAGAGATGCAGAGCAGAGGTGATGATAGAGCTGAGTTAGAGACAGCAGAACAGGTTATGAGTTGGTAAGTGTTTTGAAAGACACTAATGTGTTTTATTATTGTTGTTGAGGCTGCTGGGCTTCATTATGATTCAGATTAGTGTCATTATATCTCAAGGCTCCGCCCCCTGAGGCGGCAGGATGCTCTGACTTTCAGCTCGCTAACATCTGCAGGCTAATGTCCCCTCTGACAGCAATAACAGCACGTCGTGTTATTACACCATTAAATGGTCTGCTTCCTTCAGCTCTGTGGCTGCTGTTACCTGCAGCACATCGACCCTGTTACTCTGCAGGGCCAGGAAGGGCTGGTCTGGTTTCCTTGGGCCATGTACGTTTAGGCTGAAAATCATGTCTGTGTGGGTGAGTTGCCTCAGGGAAAGGTGAGAAGATGAAAGATCATCCACGAGAGCCAGTGTGAGTAACAGATCTGTGAGTGTGAAGGTTTATCGGATGCCAAAACACTGCTCAGCAGTTTCTGACATAGTGAGACATATTGCTGATGATTTTATTGTCTGTCTCCACCATTACCCTGTAAACAAAATAAACACTGTTCACAGGATACCAGAAATGTGTCCATGCACACATGTAATTGGCCAAAGCTAGAATTCTGGTAAACATTTGACATAATGTCTTCGCACGTCAGCACAGAGAAGGGTGGTTCACAGAGGAGCCAATGTGCACATCTCCCAGATCCTAAAAATGCATCATGCAAATGTGTTCATCAGACAGGATGGTTTGTAAAGGGACATCCTTACAAGTGTCAGAGAAACAAACCCCTGCATTCATTCAGATAAGTGCAGCCCAATCACAGAATGTAACAGGAGCAGCTTGTGTTGAGCCAGGTTTAAC